TTTCTGATTCTATTTTGAACATCTTCAAGATTCCAAAAAAGTTACGTGTCACTCTTAGTCGTTTTTCTTGCTGAATTACTTTTCTTTTTCATTTTAGTCGATTTGATTATTTGTTTGTTTCATTTTCATTAACATATTGTTGCTGTCAACATTGTCAGGTTGCGAATGTTTTTCATTTTAAAATCCTGCGGTTTGACCGATGTTATTGAGTCTTAGGCAAGTCAAGCTTAAAAATGACAAGGTAACAGGTTTTGGTCCAAGCAGTGAATTCGATTTGATTTCTTTAGAGAGGAGATTAATAAGTTTATTTCTATTAAACTTTGCATAAGGTTCAACATCATTAGAATTCTGGAACGTTAAATCGCCGAATTTTTTTGATTAAATCAATAATTCTGAATCCGTGACCAGTAGGTGTTCTTGAGTGCTAACATGTGTTGCCTTAAACATTAAATATGAGAATTTGTAAGGAAAAATTAATTTTTGTGCTCATTATGTGTTGCCTGTTTTGCGCTTTTTTCTTCTGTTTGAAAATTGTTACGGGTTTTCTTGTTTGAAAATGTTTTGTCTTTTCTGGAAATGATTCTAAATGTTTGGAGTAGCTCAATTGTTTCTTTATTTTCATAATTATTGTTCAAATTTTTAAAAATATATTCCGCTATACCTCATCAATGCAAACAATCATTTTTGATTCATACTAAAGTATTTTTGCTGTCTATACAATCTCAAATTTCTCTTCTTCGTTTAACAGTGATTTTCACATCACGCTGTGATCATCGTTTCAATCAAGATTCTCTTTGACAAATTCAATGAAATGCAAAACTATTAGCTTACTTTGGCTTGAATTATATGACAGAGAAATATCATAAAATCCTGTGCTAAACAACAAAAATATAAACTTTGACAAATGCGTACAAGAAGAGTGATTCGCTACCATATGGAGAGAATGATTGCCACCTTACACACACCTCAATGAATAGATAATAAATATACTTGCCAAAGTTGAAGTATATACAAATTTAGTAAAGAAAAGTTATCTTAAATCTTTTTATTGGATAGGTTTACGCTACAAAATTAGACGTGTTTCAAAACTGCAATGATTTGGAATGAATCTTATTCGTGTAAGTAATTTACTTTGCAACAATTCTAGAAAGAAGAAACTGGGATGGTTAATAGGAAGAGAGAAAAGAAGGAAAAATTAAAGTGAACAAGTAAGAAATAAAAGTATATTTTATATTTTGATCGCAATTAGTGTTTCATCATCGTAATTTATTATTCATTTCATCAGAAATGTACTCGAAATAAGAGAAGGCAGGATGTAGGAAGAAAGTTTTTGGTTTATGTTCATTTTTTGAAAGTCCATTTTTTTTTCAGGAAAGGTCAGCGGAGAAAGAGTTCATTTAGTAAAATCAAATACTACTAAAGTGATCAGGAGATCATGAATTATTATTATTATTCCATTCATCATTCGTATATTCCATTTATTGTTTATGAAATGAATCCATTGGATGTATTTCTTGATTTAGGTTAGTTTTGCTATCTTTTTTTAAAATTAATTTTCGCAAAAAATATTTAAGATTTAAACTAAATCGTAACTGGGAAGTATAAAAAATAATTACTTCATTAATTTTAATGTGAAATAATAAAAATCATAGATTTTATTCATTTCTTAAGGAATCATTTTTACAGTACATATCAAAAAGTTAGCTTTTTTCTTCTTATTACTTATCACTTCTCTATTGACTGATTTACTTTGTAGATCTGATAGAGCAAAAAAAGCAGGGTCAACTGCAGAATGCTGCTTTTAATCCAAAAACCGTTTCAACAAATCCAATTATTGCGTCTTATAGTTTACGATCAAATTTTATGAGAACTTTAACAAATCAAACACAATCTCCAAGAACACAACCTTCCACCGTTACACCTCAACCTTCCGCAGTACGTGATTCTTCTAAATCAACGTGTAGACAGGTTTTTCTCATTTCTACAATTAATTTTTTCATCGAAAATACACGTTAAATGATTCTTTTTTTTTTCATTTTAAACAAAATCAAAATGTAAAAGAGAAATAGGGTCAAGAGTATTGACACAATAGGGTCAAATTATGTTCATAATTTTTTCATTCAATTCAAATTTAATGCTTATATTTTCTAAGCATAATACCAGCGTGCATTTTTAGATACCTAACACAACCGAGTGAACCGAGCAGTTTCTCAGTAGCACTTCATCACGTACTTCAGGATTACTTCCACCTAATCAGAACATTCCATCTATTCCTGCTCCATCCATTTCTGTCTGAAGCGGTTAATACCATATCTCCACTTCTTGTTCCAGATGAATGCGATATACGGAGGGTAAATTTTTTTCAGAAAGATCGAAATTTTTTTTTTTATGCTGAAATTTTAACACAAAATTAATTCCTTTAGATAAAATTTACGATCTTTTCTTTTCATCTTTCAATTTTTTTAATGTACAAATTCATTCAGTACTTCTTATTTTTCAGCAGGAGGTGAAGATTGAGTTAATTGATAATTGAGTAAAATTGAACAATTTGACAAGTTAAATAATTGAGCTTTCAGCTGTTATTGTCAGTTGAAAATAAGACTCGAAATTCGGTACCACAACCCTCTCGACCTCAAAAAAGCAGTCAAACATTGCCGAAGGCGACAGCAACGTCGTAAGATAAAGCAGCAACATCATAACATAAACGAAATATCACTCTCTCTTCTGGTATAATACCGACTATACGGAAGGTTGAGGAGGATGAGCGAGTTCATTCTACTCCAAAGTATGATGTTCATTTTTTTACAGAATAAAATTAAGTTAATAAGAGGAGGATATGCTGGTTTTTAGTGTTTTCTTGTGACTTTCCTTATATTTTTATAGAATTTTTGTGTTTTAAAAAAATAAGAACTACATAAAATGATCAATAAGTTTAGAATTAAGTTGGTGAATCTGAAATTCGAGACAATGAAAGAATGGATAAAGCTTTATAAACTAATAGTTTATATATTTCTTGAAAATCTTTTAAACATCAAAATAAACTCACTATACATATCACTGTTAAGGATAATCATAAAAGCTTTGTTTTTTTTTTTCTCAGAGTTGATAATGCTATATCGGTAACGGAAAGAAAAGAAGATATTGTGGATGAAGATATGGGAGCGAATATATTAGTTCAGTTTTCAGTTCTTCATCATATGGTAATTCTCATGATAAATTTTGAATATTTTACCAAATTTTATTGCTTTAAATAAAAAATAACTAAGTAACTATTATCTATTTATATCTTTGTTAAGGGATGAAAGCTTAGGAATGGGTAATAATATTGCAATTGATATGAAGGAATTGATGTTGGAGGACGAAAAAGATGTCATGGATAATATGAAAAAGGATAAGTTAGTTTAATTTTCAGTTCCTATTATATGGTAGCTCTTAGGATAAATTTTGAATATTTTATTAAATCTTATAGCTTTATATTAAAAATAATTATTATATGCCACTGAGTGATTGTTAGCTAAGTATTTTTATTAAGGGATGATAATGAAGACTCAGAAGCAGACAGTAATAGTACGGTTAATAGTGCCAGATTGGTGAAAGAAGAGGATGAATATATCATCAATGAAAATATGGTAGAGAATGAGTTAGTTTAGCTTTTATTTCTTAATCATATAGTAGTTCTCATGATAAATTTTGGATATTTGAATTAATCTGATTGTATTGCACTAATTACATTGAATAAGCAAAAGTTACATGTATATTACGATTAATTTCTTGTTTCATTGTGTTCATCGCCAGAAATAGAAATTAATTTTTCTTCGTTCTCATTTTTGTTGTTTTCATTCATTAGGCATACAATTTTTTTTCTTTGTTTCAATGCACTTTTCATTTTCAGGCATTACGATTTAGAAAGAGCACTTGGACGCTTGCTAAACATAATAAATTTGCGTGATGTGAAACTGGATGAGAGTATTGTTTTGACGTGTGCCGGCATTTCTTATGCTGAGATCGTTGGAAAATAGTTTGCTGTTTTTTCTGATAAAAAAAAATTGAAAAAACTTGAGATTACTTAAGTATGACGATTGTATTTAATAATTGATTTACATTTCAGCGGTAAATAGCAAAATAAGGCAAGATTGCATCCTTCATTGGTAAATAGTCGGACAAAGCATGGCGTTTGTTGAAGATGACAATTTAGGGCAAATATTAATAAATTAGCTTATGAGATTTCGTTAATATCACTAACATCCTTTTTTAACAGATATAAATTTTTTAGATGGCCAAAATGATACAACCATTTTTGGAGACACTGACCGAAAGACTTGATCATTTCTCGTCGGAAAAAATCATGATCGGAACGGGTGTTTGGTTGAGAATAAATTTCCGATTAACCATTGTTAGAGTGCGTGCTTCGTCATTGTTAATAAATTTGGCGACACATACTACCATGTTGAACAATAGGACTTCATTCCGGAAATATATTGAGGAATAATTATCGGAACAGTAAGTATAATAGATTGTTCGACCTCTTCATTTGCAGGATAAAAGCAATTGACGACTAATTTACATTATGATAGATGGAGTTTTCAGTAATACTTAACTCGTGCATTAAAAGGTTATTTCAAATTTGAGAGGCAGTAGTTGAACAATACAGCCGAATTGAGCTGAGATATTATCGAATTATATTGGCTAATAATTATTGTAATCTTAACAGTGGAAAAATGATTTTCGATGTTAGAAAGTTGGAGAGTGCAAAAGTTTTTTAAAGTTTATTATTTTTATCATACATTTTGACATTTTCAGAAAGATGATGGTGGAAGCAAACGATTAAACGAGAAAGTAATCAAATTAGAAGCTAAAAAAGTTTTCTGATTCTATTTTGAACATCTTCAAGATTCCAAAAAAGTTACGTGTCACTCTTAGTCGTTTTTCTTGCTGAATTACTTTTCTTTTTCATTTTAGTCGATTTGATTATTTGTTTGTTTCATTTTCATTAACATATTGTTGCTGTCAACATTGTCAGGTTGCGAATGTTTTTCATTTTAAAATCCTGCGGTTTGACCGATGTTATTGAGTCTTAGGCAAGTCAAGCTTAAAAATGACAAGGTAACAGGTTTTGGTCCAAGCAGTGAATTCGATTTGATTTCTTTAGAGAGGAGATTAATAAGTTTATTTCTATTAAACTTTGCATAAGGTTCAACATCATTAGAATTCTGGAACGTTAAATCGCCGAATTTTTTTGATTAAATCAATAATTCTGAATCCGTGACCAGTAGGTGTTCTTGAGTGCTAACATGTGTTGCCTTAAACATTAAATATGAGAATTTGTAAGGAAAAATTAATTTTTGTGCTCATTATGTGTTGCCTGTTTTGCGCTTTTTTCTTCTGTTTGAAAATTGTTACGGGTTTTCTTGTTTGAAAATGTTTTGTCTTTTCTGGAAATGATTCTAAATGTTTGGAGTAGCTCAATTGTTTCTTTATTTTCATAATTATTGTTCAAATTTTTAAAAATATATTCCGCTATACCTCATCAATGCAAACAATCATTTTTGATTCATACTAAAGTATTTTTGC